ATGAAAACGATTCGAGAATAGGGCTCCTGTTCTTATTCTAGGAATATATCACACATTATTTTTCCTCTTTTCAGAAACGTTCCCTTCAGAGTTCGTGTAAGACTGAGCAGGAGGAGAAACGACGACGAGGACTCTGCAAACAAGCTGTATACCCTCGTCACATATATATCCGTTTCGTCGTTCAAGGGACTTCAAACCGAGAATGTGGATGCTAGCCAAGATTAATGTATTTCTGTATAATAAATAACGATGAACTGAACTCGCAAGGTATTCTTCTCATCACACGATTTATACCGAATCCGTATATCCTAGATAAGAATAATATCTCTGTGAACTTCTGAGAAGTATTCTTTTATATTATATTATAAAATAAAATATCTAAGCTAATCTTCGTATCGATATCTTTGACAGTGACAGATACATAAACTTCTTATATTGATACCTATTTCTTTCGAAATATAGCTTTACTGCTCCCATTTCTCTTTTTCAGTACTTTTTTTTAGTTTAGACAGGGAATCGAAAATTGTAACAATTCAGGAAAGAGAGAAAGATCACTTCTTCATTATTAATCACTAGCAACGTACGAATAATTCGCAACAAAGGATAATCGAGACTACACACAATATATATCGCATAATTATCAGAATTATCGACTCAAGCAGATAGTTATCGACGAGGTATTACTAAACTGATGAAAACACTACGCAAATTATTATGCTATGAGAAGGCTGATATTATTGACAAATTTAAAAATGCATCGAAGATAGTGGTTATACGAGTATTTCAACTTATACTAAACTATCAATGTTTTATCAATATTTTATCATGTTATCACTGTTTCAATTTACAGATCTCATAATTCCATAAAATTCCATCAGTGATGACCAAAAATGAACTCTGTTACATATTTGTTCATTTCATATTATTCTCTTTCGAAAGAAAATTGATATTAATTTTACGCTACAACGGCCCGCTCAACCAGCCGCTTCGGATGCATGTCCAATTTTCAATGGCATCTCATTATCGGCGACATTGATCAATCGGGAGATTCGCGTAATTCGCGAACTATTAGAGGACCCTCTTGTCAACATCTCGAGCGGAATTTCGTAGGCCGGATGGCCGCGTGCGCGGCGAACTTGGCGCGCATACGTTGTACGTCCGCAGTGTGCGGTATCCGCGGTACGTACCCGCTCGCTCGCGGTTTTGCGCGGCTGGAGCGGGCTGAATCCGGCCAGTATGCGCCTGGTCCGGCACGGTTGTGGATCGCGGCATTGTGGTGCGAGGCGCGCCGCCCGCGATGGAGCTGCGCGAGATGAGCCGCGCGTATGGCAATGCGGAGGAGACCGCGGAGCTCCTGCCGCAGCGCGACAGCGCGTCCGAGTTCGAGAGCTACTTCATCGAGTACGCGATGCAGAAGGAGATGATCAATCGCAACCGGTGCCCCGCGAGCCGACGATTGCTCAGCCAGGCCGCACACCTGGATTTCAATTTTTCCAATAGCAATCACTCCAAGGTTGGTCCTCGACGGGCCCCACGGCCACGGGGGATCGTGGCTGTCCACGTCTCTCCTGCGTTCGGAGAGAAGTTTTACGGTCCCAGAAGAGTGGTCTCCTTCGTGCGAGGAACTCTGTGCATAAGCTACAACCTATAGATTCACGAATGATACTGATCGGAAAGAGAGGCACGGGATGCCTAAAATTTGCGTGTCTTAAGATCAGAAGATTATCTTAGGAAAGCAGAGAGGGTTTTTCAAAGATGCATATTTACCCTTTTTACTTTTCTTTCGACTTAAGAATTGATAATCCAGGAGAAAGACAAAGGAGAGATACAAAGAATCATTCTGCAGATCTATGTCATCATCCAATTCACATGTGTCAATCATTTCTTTTAACTGATAAAGCATTATTTTGGATTATATCTCACGACGTTGCATGTTACGCAAGATTACATAAATGTTTACACTCTTTGATGATCGTTAATCCGTTTTATTAATATAATTAATTATATATATCGCGTGTTTTTTTTATAACATTACTACTTAAATTTACGCACGACATTCGTTAATCTACAATTTTTTTCCCCACAGTTATAATTAAATCGCGAATATTTACTATTATTAATCTATTATCTTCATTTTATCAATGTTCAATTATATTAAATTAACATTTATTTATTAATATTTGTTCATTAATATTTTTTATATTATTAATTATTTCTAATTATAGAATTTGGAAGTTAGACAGAAAACCGCATTACACACTTCTGTACGTTTTTCTCGAGTTTATCTCATCAATCGCGTATCTTTACGAATTTTTTAAATCGCAATTTTTTATTCTCGGGAAACGAAAGAGGTTCTCGGAGGTTCTTGTCGATTTATCGTACTCCGAGAAGGAGTCGTACATCATATATTATAATGAACCGTATCTCTACAAAAGTTCCTTAATTGATCAGTGAGTTAATTAGTTCATTAGCTCACACAAGCGGAAAATTGTTCTAATTTCTTCCATTCGGATATAAAAGCTTATTTCTTTATTCTACTCTAATTTATTATATAAAGTTAATTTTCAATTTAAATTTATATATATATTTTTATCGTGTCCGGCGAATTATATTCGCGTAATGAAGCTACAATGACTGAGACAACAGTTTGTTAATTTCGTCTCCGTCAGGATTCACCATGTGCCGGAATCACCATGATCCATACCTCGAACTGGCCGCCTTCAAGAAAGCGCGAGGAGGCAACAGCTCTGGAGAACCTCAGGAAAAGAGTGGAACAGAGCAAGTTGTACAAAGCGGAGCGAATTGCCGATCCCGTAGTAGCCACCACGTCTTCGATGAACTATGAGCTGACTCAACAACAGTTGGACAATCGGCCAAAACTTCTGAAGAAGGTAGACGGTAGAAATCGCGAATACGCTCTCTCAGAGTATTATTTCGTTCAATTTAAAAAGTAATGATCTTAAAGTATACGATCTTGACTGATCTTGACCCTCAATTTAATTAATAATTAAGTACTGTTTTTTTCTTTTTTTTAGCGCGTATTTTTGTCTTGAGAATCGCTTTTAAATTGTTAGATGATCTAATAAACTGACAACTTGGATTTTAAACTGCGTTAATTGATTCCAGTAGGATAATTACATTGAGTATACTTTTTCGAAATGTGAAAAATTGTCATACCGCATTGTCAAATGATCTTTCTGTTATTCTATGTTATTTTGAAAACAATTACGGAATGAAGTTAATAGTGAAATAATTGTAAGAGAGCAAATAATGTCGCGTCTTTTTGTAAATCCAGGTAGATAGCTAAAGACGAACATTGCGCGCCGGATTACGTGTCTCAGGTTCGCGGAATATAATTTCCGTTGTGTCCTTGGCTTATCTGACGTGCGACTGTTTTCGAAATGGAATACGAAATCAAAAGAGCGAAGGAGCACGCGCGCAAAGAACTTGGGTCGATACTTTAAAGTCAGGAGCGGCGCACCGTTATCTCGGTTCCTAAATGCAATTGGGATATTGCACAATTGGTCTGTTTGGACTTTCGGTTGACTTTCGTTTTGGCGATCTTTCGGTTTTGTTGTTTTTTTTTGTCTTTTGCACAAAATTTTATTCGCGGAGCAACGCTTCCTTCGTGTTCGGTTCTGAGGACACACGAAGCGATGCTCCGCGCCGGAAGGCTGAATACCATAGTGTTCTTTAAATTTTAAAGAGAAAGAGAATCAGGATTGGAGATGTAGACATCTATAAGGATGCAAAAGCGCAGTAATTCGAAATTTAAAATTCTAGATGTAAATCCAAAAAGAATCCAGACACCTAAGAGAACTTACGAATCTCAAGCTCGATTTCGGGATTTGAGAATTCAAGGATTGTACAACTTGTGTAGATTAAAAATTCAAGAATGCAAGATTTTCAGGTTTTAGAGATTTGCGAATCCCGAAATTCGCTAGGATTCGCGAAGGATCTACAATTTTTATCACTTGAAAGGCTCGAGATTCGCGGACTCCAGTATTTAGAGGCCCGAAGGAGGCGAGCGCCTTACGAAACCCGAGGACGAAGTTGTACGATATCGCGTGCGGCATATCGCATAGATCGTAGAATGGATTTATTGCGTGCCCCTCGCGCGTATCAAGATGGATTTTCTTTGCAGATACTCAGCAACCGACCGATGAGTATCACGCACGATAGCAGCGATTTGGAGACCGACTGGCGCGACAGCGAATTCATCACCGAGTGCCTTTGCTGGCACAACGTTTATCGGCAACGGCACAACGCACCCCCGTTGACCATGTCACCCCAGGTAGTAAATCAAGAGTAATAAAGGACAACGCGGAAAACGACCCAAGAACATGCCACGAACTTAAACGATACTTATACATTATTGTTCGATGTTACAGTTGTGCGAGTACGCTCAATCATGGGCTAATCATCTGGCGCACACGAACACGTTCTATTATAGGAACGATCGGAACGTAGGTCACAATCTTTATTGTCGTCCCGGTGGCGCGGTACCAAGCGATGTCACGGGACAGGAAGTCGCGTCCTACTGGTACTCCGCCGTGAGGCAGTACAACTTTCTCAAGGAACCGGACATTCTCCACGCCAATGTAAACGCAGGTAAAAAAAAAATAAAATAAAATAACAGTATCTAAAGTTAGTAAGATTATAATGGGCGAAACCTCCGAAAACGTCCATGCTCATATTTAGGTCAAACTTTGTAAATATATAGGTTCCTTTTAGATAAAAAAGACAGATACCAAAAGGATTTTTTGCGACTCCAAATTTTAGCAACTTTTTAAATATTTTTCCACATCTTTTTCTTATGTCCTATGTATTATTGTACAGTCTATCATTGTTTGTGTGGAAAATTGTGTGAACGAACTCTAACTCAGTATATTATATACAAACCAAAACAGTTCTCAAGTAACGTAAACAACCATAAAATCATACTCGTCAAAAAGTTATAACATAAACATCATTGGCGAAACTTCAGAAAATCAGAAACGTTGCAATGTAAACCCATGTGACAACTCGTCTCGTGTGAAAAGTGTATGCGTGGAGGCAGTAGGTTCTGCCCCCCTGCGGGGAGCTCCACTATTGATAAACTAGACACATAGTGTGTCTTCAAAGTACATGCGTGGACTTTCCACGCGTGGAAAGTTGTAAACCCATGTGGCATCTTGTTTCGCGTAGAAAGTGTATGCGCGGAGGCAGCAAGTTAAAAATGTTTAAAAAGTTGCTAAACTTTGGAGTTGCAAAAAATTCTTTTGGTATATGTCTTTTTTATCTAAAAGGAACCTATTCACAAAGTTTCACCTAAATCGGAGCATGGACGTTTTCGGAAGAACAGCCTTATAATGTCTTCTTAGAAATGATAGGAGATAAATTTTATATTGTTTGATTTAATTTATTATCTTGTATTAGTATTTTAATTAGACTTTTTTAAATTTATATTCTGTTAGTATTATATTCGTACACAGAAAAAGAAGAAGCGTCAAATCAATACTTTTATATACTCATACGAGTATACGTATATATACATACGCAACAATAATCTTGAAATGAGATTATATTGCCTTAAATGAAGAAAAATTGCTTAAATAAAGTCATTTATATAGTTAAACGAAGTTTTACATAGTTCAACCAAGAAAAAAAGTTGAAATTCTTATAAGAAGATTATAGATTGTTGCGTATATACGAGTATACAAGTTTTGATTTAACATTTCTTTTTCTTTTCTGTAGGTTTACACATTCTTATGTATTTTTTATTAATTTTTTATTAACTTTATTGAAGAATAATTCATGCAAAGAAACGTTTTTCTAGGTCACTTCACCCAGCTGATATGGGCGAGAAGCCGTTACTTCGGGGTCGGCAAGGCGTGCAGCAGAAGCGGCAAGGTGATCGTGGTGGCAAACTACGAGCCGGTGGGCAACGTGTCCGGTCAATTTCAGAACAATGTGTTCCCCCCGTTACCCGAGAACATGAACGTGGTGCTGTCGCCACCCTCCGTGCGGGTGTCGCGGGGACAGTACGAGCTACTGAGGCCAACGTCGCAACCCTTGACGCCACCGTTACCGCCGCCGTTACCGCCTCTGTTGTCGGACACCGCGTCCACCGCCAGCGACACCACGTCCGTCAGCTCCGGCCAATAATACCACGGCCGTGCGAAATGCCTTCTCTGTATTTGCGCGCGATGGGCCGGACGCTGAGGAGAAAGAAAGGAAGAGAGGCCGACCCTTCGCGTGCCGCGAATCAAAGACTTCGGACACGCGAAACACGATGACCGATATTTCTGTCGGGAAGAACGAAATGTTTTTCAGAAGCTTTTTATTAATTTACTGACACGCATCTCTAGGAAAGAGCTTCTGAAAAGTCTCCAAAAAAGTAACATATAATTAAACATAACAGTATAATTATAAATATCATCTCGATGATATAGCTCAATTGTCATCATAAAGTTAATAAGCAATTGATTAATTATTGAAGAATATTGCAACATTACTTTGTGTCCTACTGTTGCAATTTCATCCCGACTCGATCGTATTCAGTAATTTCCCACGAAATGTCGGTCATCAGGTTTTACTGCCAGGTTCAGCTACCGCTTGCAAAAGCAGTGATAATCAAAGATACACCGAGCTTCGTCGTGATAGCTGATAATATGTAATAATTAAATCGAGTAGTATAATCTGCGGCGTAATTATTGACAGTGGCGTGACTTTTCGTTTGTTTATAAGCCCCATGTGAAAATAAAAAGTAATGCGCTAAGCAGAAAGGCAGGATATCTGAAAAAAGTAAGATAGAAGAAAAGAAATTGAAGAAATATCAAGAGGACAATTATACAATTAAAATTGTATTAGGATTAAAGTAACAAGACTAATCAATATTGAAGTGGTATAAAATTCCTTTCTCTTGACAAAGTTTCAATTTCTTCCTTTGGTGTGTGTGTGTGTGTGTGTGTGTATGTGCGTGCGTGCGTGCGTGCGTGTGTGTGTGTGTGTGCGTGCGTGCGTGCGTGCGTGCGTGTGTGTGTGTGTGTGTGTGTGTGTGGCAGGGAGAAGCTATTTTTTAAAGAGTCAGGTCACTGTCTGTAATAGATAATATCAGCTCAAATTTAGAATAGCCATACTTATTTCCGGTTTGGCAAAAAAGTTAGAAACGATCGAACAATTTGTAACTTGTTTTCAAATTTTTCTTAATTTATTCGCTGATTATTCATTGCATATCACGTATTTGAAAGCTGGAATTGTTCAAAACACATAGAAGCTCTATTTTGTACGACGGTTTAGAGTTGGCGCTTGTTTAAAGAATAGTTATAGCTATGTATGATATATTTGAGAAGCCTAAATGACGAATTGCGTCTAGCGTGGAGATATAATACTTTGCACATACCTTTCCGTCCTGTTAAAACATAAAAATCAATGGTTTGCGGAGTGGAGTTTAAGTTTCTTTACGATAACGAATGTTCCTATCGAGTAGTGAGGATCAGTGTTCTCCAGAGGTTGATCTAGGAAAATAATTAAAATCAAAATTGAAAGAACACCTTGAGACGAGAGAGACCACAATCACAGTACGTTATACATTACGTATTGTTAGAAGTATTTATAGGATATTAATCCTGGAATAGCACTAGAAGGAAGATCTGCGATATTTAATCTTAAATAATACTAACAATAAATGAAAAGAAGGAAACCGATCGGAAAGGAAGTTTGCAGGATTTAATTTCATACGGCGAATTTATAGAATTAGAATTAAAAGAGAAGCTATATTCAGCACCATATATATTTCATACCTTACATTCAGCGCTAAATGTCAGATGTGAATATAGACTTTTTAATTAAGTAGCTTAGTGCTGTCCTTATTTATTTTCGAGTTTCAACGGAAATGGAATTGAATAGGCTTAATCGCTCTAGGACAAGTTGAACATAACGAAGTCTTTAATTGAGACAGGCATTCGTTTGAAAGCGATAATTATCACGAATCTCTCGCTTTCAACATATAGGACAAACACAAATACGTATCCTACGTCTGAAGCACAGGTATGTAAGACCGTGGTCTGAAGTCTGCCAGACCGCCAGACTGTTTGATAATCGTTATCATCATAGAGAGACGACGCGCTGAGCGGTTACACATCGGTGCTTTACATTTCGCCTTGTCAATGATGATTTATCGTGAAGTACAACACGTGATTAAATCTTCCACTCCCCAATTATTCCTATGGAATGAAAAGAGAAACGAACGCGGGAGAATTAATTAATCAGTGAATTGGGGAAAATTTTTAGGCTGATGTAGTAGTTGCTTCAAATGTTGTTGCAGCGATTTTAGCGCGCTAAATAAGATGTATGTACATATGACACACGATCTACGGCGAGATTGTTAATGAAATAACATCGATTATATTAGAGGAAGATCTCTCAGGTACGCAAGTTATTGCGGTTACACCTTACGGCGGTTCTAGTAAAAGCAAATTTACAGCGATTTTTATAATTTGACCTTGTTGGACCTTGATTCGCTGATATAGAGAATATATTAAAGATAGATTGTTACAAAAAACATAAATTATTTTTCACAGGTAGATTGTTGTATTATAGAGAGAAGAAGAGTTATTTTTCGCTTATAGTCGACCGACTAGTACCTCGCTTTTCCAAACATACAAAATAGAATGTAATGTAAAGCGTAAACTATAAGGAGATACGTTTTTGTCTCTTTATACTAGATTTTCGCTTCCGTAGAACCTTATGTGATGCTACATATGAAACGATAAAATCGTTGATTAATCGATCGCATATGAAATATCCGTTAACGATTCGCTTAATCGAATTACTCAATTCGTTTAATCGCGCTTCGTGTAATTTAATGTGAGATTATTGCCCGTGAGCTCGTGGCATAAAACGACGTGCGTTCCACAATGCCGATAATAATGTTTATCATAGCGCACAGGGTTAAATAACAATCGCTCGATGTGATAATTAAGAGGCTTTCATTAATCTAAGAATGTTAATTAAATAAAATTACGATTACCGAGAGGATCGACGAGGTTGAAACGGTTGTTCGTCGCTTTTGAATGTCTTTTTTTCGTATGCAACGCATGCGAGCTGTTAAGCGAATGGAGTATTTTTAAAGTGCGTGTACGCTCACCTGTGACAATCGATACTGAAACGTCGTTTCATTTATATGTATATTGAACATGACGACTTGAAAGCTCGTAGATCTACGCACAGTGTGTTCGCAGACTTTAATTTTAATTACAATTCCCTAATGAATTCGAAACTATCTTTCCTCTCGACAGGGTTTCGAACAAATCACTTCCTAGATCTTCTTGATCTTTGAATTTAGGTATTACTTTGATAATTACGTCTATTAATTAATATATCGAATATGATATCTATGTTAATGAGAAATCCATTTGAAATTAATCTGATCTTTTATCGAAATACAGTGAAGATGTAACACCTTATAGTTATATACGCACCTATATATTAATCCGCAATGATACAATTAATCGCGCTTAACAATTTATGAAATTCTACTCAATCTGTCTACTCAATCAGAATGTAAGTTAAGAATTTTATATATTATTTATTTTATTATAAATCTATTTTCTAATATATAGATTTTGCTATTATTGATGACAGTCTATCGGATCTGCCAGAAGCTCACGTAGCCTATTATTAGCTTTGGTAACGTTGAATCTCTAATAAAAAAAACTCAATTCATTATCGATCCCTGTTAATCGCTTCATATATATGTAGAAATAAAAGTATCAAAAGTTAAAAGTGGAACGACGTTAATGTAATCGTTGTTGTTAAAGCGCATAGCCTTAACGAAATGAATTAAATGCATTGCAATCCAACGTATTTTATAACGATGAATGTTAATAAAATCGTCTCTTCTTTTGCAGAAACAGTTCTCGCAAATTATATCCTACCCTTCGATATTTTCCGCGAAAGCGGAACACTGCAATATTTTTAAAGCCAGCGAAACACGTCGAAACAAAATATAATCACTCTTAATCTTGTGTGAACATTCAATGTACAATGAATATACGTCTTTTTTTAAATGATATTACGGGACTTTATTTGGCACGTCAGTAGAAAGGAAATGCGTTTTGGTGATATCAGCGCGTTCCGTCGATAGAAAAATAAATAAATAAGAAATATGAGGGACAAGGGGAAGGAGGCATCGAGCGTTGAATACAGCTGACATATATTTTCCGTCAAATATCGTATTTCGCTAATAACATTACATGATACAATAATTAAAAAATATACTGTACTTTGCGAAATTACAATCGGTACTATAAGTAAAATATAGTAATATTAATAACATCCCCGTGACGTGTTGATTCGCTCTCGGCGTTTAGTCAACCTAACGGCTGATATCATCGCTCTTCTCTTTTCTTTTCTATATGAGATTATGAAAACAGTTTTACAAAATATAGTGCAAATATATACGCTCGCTATACACAACAATAAGGGAGTTTTCGATTATCTCTTATCATTTATCTCTTTCTTTTTCTCCCTCTCTCTCTCTCTCTCTCTGTCTCTCTCTTTCTCTCCCTCTAATTTTTTTCATCTATTAATACATGTATGTTTGATTAACTTCGAGTTTAAAATTTACCTCGACGAATACGTTTAAATAATCCTCCTTACAGCCTTTCTTAAAAAGTAATTAATCGCTATTAATAACGTCGATCTTGACCTACGATATGGCTGATTAAAACTAAAAAGTTAAGACTACGGACGATGGAACCTCGCTCGCGCGACAATTGTACAATCAGCGTACAGCTCGAAAGCGGAAATTCGTTGTGATCACGAGCAAAATTTATCGCACGACGGTGTGTAACAAGCTGTTCAAGATTATCACTATCGTTCCCAGATGGAGGAATGATAAAGACTGGAATATCGGATCTCGACATAAGCGCGCGAAAGAAATAAGAAAAAAATATATAAAAAGAGACAGATAAATAAGACAAAAGCGCATTTATGAAGACATTCTCTATAATGGATGTGGAAAGCGATTACTGAAAACGCTGGAGATTAATCGCAAAGGTTTTCTCTGAAGAAAATTAAATGTTTTATTTAAGCGAACAATTTAATGTAAAAGCGCTAGTCACTTGTTTGTTTTTTTTTTTTAAGAGATCGTCCATATAGATATTCCGTATCGCAACGCAACTCTCCGTTTCTCAAGCAGAGCTGAACACACAAATTCGAGAATGTTACATGAGAATAGAGACGCGAATGATTTCTCTTGGAAGCGAAGATATTAGTATCAATTTGTATTAATATTGTATTGTTAGTTACGCGATGTTAGTATTGCATTCTGTGCACACACTCATTCTTATTCTCTCTTTCTCTTTATCTCTGTGCCGGAAAATAAGCTTTATAATACTCATGAATTTCAAAAAGAGAAACGTCGGAAACAAATTATTTTTACAAATAATACTCGAAACACACACACACACACACACACACGCACGCGCATTCACATACTCGGAGTTCCCGAGAATACTGTCGAAAACGCGAAAGCAGCCGATAATTTGTAAAATGTCGTAACACAGAACACAGACTTGGACGGTGAGGAATGTCACACAATTTTAACAAATATAACCGAAGCACTGAGTGGAACGTGAAATACTTCTCCAGCGTCAGTCGGACCGACCCGCGTGGCGATTCCTATCGCGCAAGATCAATCAACAAACATTCTCAACGGTCGTTTGTACAGTTACTACATAAGTTGTTCCTTACATCCTAATATTGCTACACTTTGTTCTTCACGTTAGATCACTAAGCTCTCTTTTTTTTGGAATACTGCTTCCACATCCGCGAAATACTCGAGGTGTGAAAAAATCGAATACGATTAAACTTAAAAGTTTTAGAATTACGCAAAGAAACATTTCGAGCAAATCTCGCGCCTAACGATAACAATTTGATTATCACTTAGCGTTGAGGCGCTTAACAGAGGGATTACGTAGAGTGAGACACTTAAGATGTCGATTCTCGGTTGATCACACGCGACGCGTTGCAATTCGAGAGTTACGCGTTCTTAAAAGAATCGATATCTCATAATTTTACAATATATTATTGATGATCATAGAAATTGCGAAATAATATACGTTATGTGACAAATAAAAATGCCGCCTATGTGCGTTATTTATTTATCGTAAATTAAAAAATTCGCTCAAAAATAAAAATACGTTGAAACATTTTATTGAGAACACAAATTTGTTCCAACACTCCTTGTGATTCTTCATATTCAATATAAAATAAATATTGAATTTTGCGGTAATGTGCTAAAATTTATGTTGCACTAATATTTTTATATATAATAATAAAAATATTAATTATTACAATATAAATCTTGCGAACAATCCATGATTTATTTTATATCTCTATATATGATATCCTCAAATATACATCTCAAAGTAAATATAAGCACTTAATTAACCAATTAATAAAAATAAGCAATGCTAATTAGCTCTATAAATCTGTATAAAAAATATATATATATATATAAGTGATGAATATATTGCGATAAACATCTTAAGTGATTCACCCTATACATTAGCAAAAGATGGCTTTTGTAAGAACAAGCTTAATAGACAGAAACAATTCTTTCTAAGTACTACTAATGAAACAAAAGAAAAACAATTCTTAATCATATTTCGAAGATTAGCAAGAACTAAATTTGGTTTCTCGCCAGCTAAATTCAATAAAATATCGATAATGGATCGCGTTAAGATTTCGGTTCCCTCAGAAATTGTCAATGGAACGAATGGAGACACTTCAAAATAGGAATCTTTCATCATGGTTGCATTATCCATATCGCGTAACGCGTTTATTCTACACTCTATGCAAGTAGAGCCTCCGTTTATATTCTAAGAGCTTTTGTCAGAGTTCTACAGAATGGTAGGGCCGTCATTCGAGTTCTATGAGGAATAGAACTCTCGTTCGAACTCTACGCAAAATAGAGCTTTAATACGAGAGCTAAACTAGTGCCGTCTATACTGCTGGGACAGGTAGTTATATATAAATATAAATCTTTCGTTATATTCGCACTCCTCATTTTTCTCATTTATACGCACATATGCTCCCGCTCGTGCGAACATATTCTCCCCTTCTCTTTTTTCTATTTTCCATTCTATTTTCTATCTATCTTCGCTACTTTGTCGTACTTTGTTAAGTGCATAATGGCATAAGTTTGTAAATATAGAGTGGTACAATTTAAATATGTATATATCAGAATCTTCTACTGCCGAGAGATAAATATAAAACTAAAGTGTACGATAATCATGCTGCCCGGCCTACCGTCTGTCTCCTCCTTATGTACACTCGCGAGCTACCCTCGCGAAACAATCCGCGCCTCTCAAAAGCTTATTTAGTACTCGCGAGCCTTTATCCTATGCCATACTAGTCTCGACAGATTATATCAGTTACTTTATAATAAGATTATGTTGGTCCGGAAGTAGTCAGGAATATTGGTACGCGTCGCGTACGAGAACGGCCGGACAGCTTCCTTTCTCGTCGCGACTAACGCAGTACGTCCGCAACGTTACGTTATTATTGGTCCTTCTCTTCGCAGAACACACAACATTTTTGGTCAAAGAGCTATACAAAAGCTTCTATTTGTACTTCAACGCTGTGTGAAGAGTCGCCGCCGGCTAATCGGATTCATTCTATTTCTGAATGCAAAGTAGCCCTCGTGTAGTATCATTAGTAATAAACTTAATTAATGCATCGTTTGTGGAACTACAACTATGCGCGGTATACATATTTCTCTGTATGTCTCTTTCTTTATCTGAGCGGAAAACGCACGACAAAGTATCTAGGACGTTCGGGAGAAAAATAAGGCAGAAATTTGGTAATCTTAATTATTATGTATGATACGAACTCTCGGATAAAAAAGATAAATGTAAGTTGTGTAAACTTTTTTTACTTTTTGCTAACGATAGCGCCTTCAATTAAATAATTGTTATTCTTGTAAAAAATTGATATATATATATATATATATCTACAGATGTATTATTATGTTAGCAGCGAGACAATGATGTCTTTTGGTTAGATAACGTAAATGTTGGAAAGATTACCTCTTCACGTACATCGTGCTTCTTTAATTCGTAGTTCGCAATCATGACTTTTCTCCAAGCGTCCTAGATATTTCGAAAAATATTTGATGTATCTTAATTCCTAAGGCCTGTGAAAATAAGAATCCAACGTTTAGGTCCTATTGTTATTGGTGTTATTGCCGCTGGTAGTGGTGGTGTTGTTGTTATTATTATTGTTGTTACTATTGGAATTAAGCGGACTGCTGATGTTGTCGATCTCACGCTGGGCGCGCGAGATCTTCACTTTATCCCGCGGCGTGCCGTCCTCGCCAGTCTCCATCGCGAACATTTTCATTTTCTCCTTGAAGCTGAGCTTCTCCGGCACCGCGCCAATCTGTGAGTTCTGCTGCTGCTTCTGCTTCTCCGCTAGTCGCTTTTGCCTCGGATCCCTGAAACAACCAATTGTTTAGCATACTTGTGCCAAAGGACTTGCTTATTCAGTAGTAGCTCTTTAAATCTTAAGTGTATGTATGCAACAAAAATTTACTTATAGACTTCTTGAGCCCCGATCACACCGGGGGTGGCGCCAGTAAACGAAGTCCCGGACCCTTCTGGTGTCTTGGGAGAGGCTAATAAATTCTCCGCGTCGTTGATAAAATTCTGAAAGCACAATTGAATAATGGAATATATATCTATAATATATTAATATATATTTGCCAATATATTGATATACATATAATACTGTCGACACTGTCGAACACACTGTGCAACATCAATAACAACATTTACTGAAATCGGGCATAATTTTTTGCACTGTCTAATATAAATTAATGTACCCCGGGTTCCGCAAAGCGCATATGCGCGCATTTATCTATAACATACGTAACGTTTACTATAAAAAATGCGTGCATATGCGCTTTACGGAACCCAGGGGTATAAATGACTCCAAAAAGTCTCCAAATATCAATATAGCAGCACATTATGTCTTGCATAATTTGCGTATGCAAGGACCTCGATAGGAATGTAATCCAAGACAGCTACGATTATATATATATATATATAATAAATAATCTATTTAATATATGTACAATAAACAAAAAACTTGAAGGATACTATAATTAATTTATTAAATAAACTAAATTAAAAAATCTTAAGTAGTAAGAGTGCATCACCATTATCAATTAGTGTTGTATAAATTAAATTATTATAGTTCGTTGAATTAATGTAATTTAGCTTAATGGATAATAATAAATTTGACACTCAATGCAAAATATCTAATATCTAACATATTATAATGCATGATAAATCCCAGATTAAATTCTTATCGAAGAAATGTCCAGTTTAAATGCAAACGTATTGTAACGTATTGCAACAAGTATGTAATTTTTGGGAGCAACCAGCGTGGTATACGCGTAAAGCAACGATCATAGAGACTAGCATCAGTCATATACAACATGAAACATGAATGTAGATCACATAGAATGAAAAATATGAATAAAACATCTAATTTTAGATACAGCGAATAATGCTCGAATGAGAGATACATGATCATTAGATGATAATTACTATAACTGACAGTTCATGCATTGTAAACATCGTAAAGTAGACAGCATGATGTAGCATGATCTGTTTTAACATTTGTACCTTACTTGTTTATCTGCCATCGTAAGCATTTCGACAGGATATTCATATTTATAATAAATTTCGTATTGGCGATATAAATTAATCCCTTAAAGGGATATTAATTTCTTAATTAATTATTTAAACTACAGACCGTATATCAGAAAATAAGAACAAGATTTGTATGGTATGATCTCAAATTACTTCTCTTGAAATTAATATGAAAGATAATGTGATAATGACTAGATACTAAAATATTATAAAGGAAACGCAAAACACACACACTCAAATTTTTTAAAACAATATCAATTATGTGAAATATGTTGCTCAATTATGCTTATCAAAATAAAGGATAGGATAAAATAGAAGTAAATTAAAGCAGGAAAATGATAAGAATTACAAAAATGGATATAAGAAAATTACTCACGTTGGGATCTTCTCTAATGGTGTCCATTGAGATTGACGGCGGGTTTGATGTTCCAGATGATACATTGCGCAGCATAGACTCGCTATTTGCATTCGAATCATGAAAAGAGACCCTTTTCATAGATGCTGGCTGTTGAGAAGTGGGAGGTAGATTAGATGTAGTCGAGCCGTTTGATCTGAGAGCACTTTGCTGAGACATAACGGCGTAACTGGAGCCTCGTTCTGGTGGCGGGGGTGCATCATTTACGTTGTTTTGCGAAGCTACGGTAAAAAAAATATCTTTAATAAAATAATAAAAATACATAAGTCGAATATGCAATACATTCAATAAACACAACAAAAATATAGTGTATTTACAAATCTTTTGTTGGTAGAAAACAAATATTTCAAGACAATTTCTCTTTACAGAAATGAGAATACAGAGAATCAAAGAGTTCGATATTTAATCCATAAAAATTTTAAAAGCTTTATGTTTAATCTACTAACGCATAGATACGTTGGGGCCATTAATAATCAAGTTATCCAAGCGTAACATGCCGGGATGCAGCTGACTTCGCGAATGTTGGCTCGGCTGATACGTTTGCTGCTGTAATTGTTGCTGTTCTTCCTGCTTCTTCTGGTTCTCCTCGTATTCAGCCTGCTTCCGCTTCACCTCGTCCATTCTCCGTTGTAGTTCCCTGTCTTCCACGGAGTGTGACATGCCTATGGAATAGGACTTCTGACCGGAACTGAAATGGCTAAGAGGTGTGCCATAACTAGAGGTCGATACATGCTCTTCGCTCTGACTTGTTGCTGTTTGTTGTTGCGGCTGCTGATGTTGCTGCTGATTTGGTTGCACATGCAAACCACTATTTTCTTGACCAGGACCACTCATCCCAACATTCTGAGACACCGTTTGATTGGATAGAATATGAGCATGGCTACTGGTGACAGGTTGGTTGTTGAGGGGCTGGAGAGGTAAACCACCTCTCATAGACTGGTTGCCTGCGATCGTTCTCGATAAAATTGGTGGCTGCACAGTTCCTTGGACAGTTCTGTCCTGACTGGCCGCCATTCTCAGTAAGCCCTGAACACGCTGCACGCTCTCGTTGTCTAAATCATTACTCTCCTCATCATCGTCCTGATTGGCAATCTCCTCCGCCCTCTTCTGGAAGTCTCTCTCCAGTTGGAGAGCTCGCAGCTGCTCTTCCTGCTGCTGCGTTCGATGCGCCAGCGCGCTCAGCTCGGCGATCTGCTGATCTCGCCATTGTCGAGCGGCTTCTCGCCTACGGGCTTGTTCCTAAAGATACCAGCAATGTCAAATAAAAATGTTCTTAAAGAAAAATACAAAATAAAATTACAAATTCCAAAAAACTTGTTACTGAAATTCTTAACTGCACAATAATTACTAATAGAAAATTTCAATGTAAGAAACTAAATCTATAAATTAAAGATTTTATTGCTTAAGGAGATTTATTTGCATTTATTAAAGCTACCATTTCATTTATTATTTTCCTTTACTAATTACTATTACTTATTACCTTTTCTCTTTCTTCTCGTTGCCAAGGATTTGTCGCGCTATATTGATACTGACGCGGTTGCTGCATGGCACTGATTCCTCCCGCAGGGTAATAACTACCTCGTGGTGGATCTTGCATGCTTGCGGTATACCTGCAACATTTTCTTCCATTATTTAGGATCAAATTTAATCATCAACAGGCAACTTCCAAGATGCGTTAAGATACATACCTTGTGTCGGCTTGCTTGTACAGAGGGTGCGTCGAAGTACTGGGCGGTGGTGGTGGTGGACTTTCGTTAAACTCCTCAGACGGTAAAGATGGTCTCGTTGGCGGCACTTCCGACGTCGTCACAGAGTGGCTTTCTCCGTTTTGCGCGCGATTGACGTTATCGTTTCCATACTGATCGATGCGCTGGTCCAGATTGCCGTTTGGATAATGTGGGCTGTTTTGCGAGCCGGCGAAATGTCGATTCTGTTCGGCGTACGACTTCGTCTCCTGGCCGCTCGAGTCTCTACCGAGTAGATTCTCATTGGGCATCGGTTGATGGCCGCGCGCGATTGCCTCGTTCTTCGGTTTGGGCATCATCGGGCCGTATTGACCTCCGATTACCGGATACCGATTAGGGTACTGATTATACGGGCCGTACTGACCATACTGCGTGCTGTTATATTGAGTGTACTGGGCATCCGGATAATTGTAACTGGGCGCGTTTTGTCTCGCGGCGTAGCTGGAGGTCGTGCCCAGGCTCGATGTAGAACCGAGTGGTCTCGGCGTGCGTACATTCAAGGTATTCGGCATTTGTTGAGCAGGAGGAGCTGCCACTCGAGCGCCCATGTTATACATCCCCGACGGTCTATGCTGATTAAGCAGCGGCGCGCCGCCGCGCAACTCTCGTCGACGAACTTCCTCTTGCATCTCCTGCATCTTCGCCTCCTGGCGGATGATGTCGCGCGACGATTGGGAACGCGGCGGTGGTCCTCCACTGTGTTGTTGCATCTGATTGCTGACCGCCGAGTAGCTTTGCTGCTGGCCTGGGGTGACATACGCGGACGTCGGACGGTCTCGGATGTGACCGCCGATTTCCATGGTAGATGGACGGTTCAACGAGTTCTGCGAACCCCTCAGGGAACTCTTTTGAATATGCTGAGGATTCCTGCAATATGCAACGATAAATTTAGAAAATGTTCAGAACACTTAGGGAAAATTATGAGATTATTCTAAATTGATCCATGTGCACAATGATATTTTCATTTTATGCACGTATAATCAAATGTCAAATGTAAGAAAAGAAGTGCTTAAAATAGGAAAATATAAAATTAAAAATATATGAAAGTTGTACTGTATATCTATACCTGTCATCTGGTTGTTGTAAACTAATTTGTTGTTTCACAGTCGGGTCTTGATTTCGATAAATACTCAGATTCTGATAAAATCGCTCTGCTTCTGTGCCCTGTGCACTCGACGGTGCGTTCATGTGCGTTGCATTTGGATTCAAATTAGGCGACGATTGCTGCCTGCTGACTAAGCCAGTGGGCGGTAAAGTTCCGATTCTCATGGGATCGTGCAAATTATGGCTCGACCTAGAATACATTATTGCATACATTATTCTGATAAATATATTGTTTCTCATGATATTTTACAAGCAGAATGTACAACTTACATACAATTATGATACTGAATATATTAACAAATGAAGAGAAAAAGTTGATTAAATTAATCTTTTGATTTGTCCTATAAGACATTTTCGAAAAATTGCGCTTAATAATTCCTGAAAATTATTTCCAATTTGCTTAGGAGATAAGTTGTATAAAATATTGGGTTGGCAAATAAGTTCGTTCGGTTTTTTGACTGGTTTTGACTGGAAAAAACCGAACGAACTTATTTGCCAACCCAATACAAAGATATATTAAAATATGTATTGAGAGCGATCTGAATTGAGTTGAAGATATATACCTGGAGCGTAAAGAAGTTGCACTGTTGATCGTCGCCATAGGAGGTGGTTGAACAGGCGGTGTAACGCTGTTACTGGAAGAAGCTCTGCTGTATCCAGGATTAAACACCTCATGCTGTTGCTTGGTCTCGGTACCCATATCTACGTAAATCCAATTATTATTTACAAACGAGTAAATGTAGCCGTGCATACTCTATCAAATACATCTTTATCCTACTTAAATCTTCTAATAAGAGGTAGATGTTCCTCTTACGTTTAATCTACCTAGTGAAACCCGATAAAGCTGCGTGATTCGATAAGAGATAGAGATAGACGTTCCTCTCTTATGCTAATCTGTCTAGTGAAACTCGCTAAAGCTGTGTGATTCGGGCATGATATGCACACACAAAGCTCGCTCTTACTTACTATGCAATGCCGGCACAGACTTGCTGCTGTGGATTTGCTGAGGAGTGGCGTCGTGTCCAAGCCGCGACGGTAAATCTCGCTCGCTCATGCGACGAGGACCTGCGGTAGCCCAAGCGGGTACACAAAGAGACAGCTTTGAGTTAATGCATTGGTGAACACGAAGGTGCCGAGGCGCAATATTAAAATGATCACTCATGCACATACGCAAAGCACACATTTGTCGAGAACGAGAATACGCTCTCTTTTGGATCATCGAAGTCTAACTTTGACACGTTGAAAGCGGTGGAAAAAGAAAATGTCATACGGCCAACTGTAAAGACACTTATGGCAATGACGAGCTACAGCGAACAAATTTGTATATGCATTGTGATATTGTTTCAACAAAACTATGAAATAATTCTCGTTGGTTGGATGCAGTGAATGGACAAAGTATTGATATGATTACTTAATGTTTAAAAGTGATATAGTTTATAATTGCAATAGAATAATAAAAAATTATTGCATTGGAGTTTGCGGAAAAGGTATTATACAAAGTAAATAATAAATATTTAAACATGTATTTCATGCGTGCACGTTTGCATGTGATTAATTCATGAGTTTGATTTCATGTGATTAAGTTAATTAAATAAAAAAATATAAAATTATAAAATAAAAGGTACTTATTTTGTCGCAATTACTGTGCAATATCGTAATTAAACAATCACATCGAATTACATAAAGTATTCTCTCTATGCACATAACTATGATTATGTGCACGTAATATCGCAGACGTTGTTAAATATATCACTACTGTAGGCATAGCAATGCAACAAAAGAAAGTACCTGAAAATTGTATTAATATATCATGCTTGCATATTAGTAGAACATCGTGTTATTATGGAACAAAAGTATATCTATTAGTGTCATATTTTATAATTTGCAGGATAATACTTGCAAATCCATTTCTGAATTAAAACCAGATGATAAAATCAATTTAACATAAATGTTAATCAATGCATTTATCAAAAACTGGCCAAATCAATTTCTTAATTCTGCTCAAGTCTTCGGCTTCCCCATCTTCATTTAGAAAAAAAATTTAAAGTTCATTATGACAAGACGGAAAATATATTGTTCTAAAAATTTTATATTATTTTAGCCTATTATTTTAATTTTATAAAAATAATTTGATCAATTTTTGATTTCATCGTTTTAGAAATCATGCCAGAAAACAACGTAAGTATTGTAAAAAAGATGTGAGAATGATTTATGTTGAAAATCATTCGGGCACTACGGCCGCGTTATAAATAAATATAGGAGCAAACGTAATGTATGTAAACAGATCTAATAAATCGTGCGACACTGATCCGTCTGCAAACGTCGATTTTCCATTCGTCTCATTCAGGCGGAATGAAAGTGCTTGAAGAAAGAAAAATTCGACTAAATGCACATTCAATGTATAACACGTGGTGGTAGCTTACTCAAGGCGGACCGGTCATCATCTTTCAGCGAGCTGATCTCGCGGAAGCTCCAACCGTCCCTCTCCGAATCGGACTTCCGTCTCGAAATGTCAAACTCGCTCTGAGATTTCCGTTCTGCTCTTAATCGTCCTATATTTTTTGTCTCGTTTTCACGCGATAATTTAAAAGAGCTATCTTTCAGCCGATCGTAGCTCTTGCGCTTTGTACGAGTTCTTTTTTTCCCGTCAGATCTCTGTACTTCAGTAGTTCGATCTAAATTCGTCCATCTGTCTTTCTCGCGCGGTTCTCTCTTTGATTCCAATTCTTCAAGCGACAGATGACGATTCCATCGCGTGCCGTCCTCTAATTTATCGCCAAAGAATTCGCCAAATTTTGTTTGGTCTTCGGCAGTTTGAACTGAAGTAGAATTCATCGGATTGTCTCGCTTTCTGGAGCCTTTATTCAATTTCAATTCTTCGAGAGAACGATGACGTTGCCATCGCGTACTCCCCTTGGGACTCGAGATCGATCTGTTGCAGGACTTGTAAGATGAATCAAGATCTTCGCGAAGATTTTCAGAAGATCGCGATCGATCGTCAGAATCAGATAAAAATTTGTTGTTCAAGATACTTTCACAGCTTCGCGTCTTAGTGGACTTGTGAAGATCTATGGCTTTCTCAATCTCTTCTTTTCCATAAATTGCAGTACCGATCAGATTGCTTTCGCTCTTACAGAGAGGTTTAGCAATTCGCATTCGCAGGACGTTCAGTTTGTTATCACCCGATCGTGAATACGCATTCGCATGTCGCGGAAGTATCAACGAGCTCTCTAAAAAGCTGCTGTTGGAGCAATTCTTAGCGGCGGAATGAGAAATGTCTATAAATAGGCATTTGGGATGCTTTTCGCAATACTGACGAACCTGTGACCTGATATCTTCCGAGGACCGAGAACTCTTTGCAACGTTCGATAGCGACAGTACGATGGAAGAATGGGAAGGTGAATGAACGGAAGGCAGGGAAGAAGATAACGAAGAGTCAGGAGCTTTCGACATTTTCTGAAAGTTATCGGTCAACAACGATAATTTCTCTCGAGGCGTTGTTTCTGATTGATTTATAAAATTTGACTGGGGCGAATCGCTATAAGCATAAGCGGATGTACCGTTATTCTCATTTATTGTGGAAACGGCAGAAGATTGCGCCAAGTCTTGCTCCGGAATAAATAAAGGCGCATCGGTATTATCCAGATTTGAGAACTGCTCGAGTTGTTCTGCGATTACTTGCTGCTGTTCGAGCGAGAGTTTGGAACTGCTGTCTTTGATATTAACTTTTTCTGCTGGAAACAACTTTTCCACATCTTTTCGATTTTCCACTGTAAAAGAAGCTTGGGATTTGCTGTCATCGATTGCCATATTGTTATCTTTAACCTCTGCAAAAGTTGCGTCCTTTTTGATACCAAGAAACACTTGATCTTTGCTACCATTACTCGATATATTTTCAACCTTAGTCGAAGCTATGTTCTTCGTACCAACTAAACTTTGATTTTTACCTTTAAAAATATTCTTATCATGATTCTCGTCTATTGCTAGAATTGTACTTTCCTTAGCATCAGTCGTAACTTGTTCCTTTACTGGAATCCTGGCAATTGTAACTCGTCTAGCGCCGCAATGATGAAATCTACATTCCTCGATCGCGAAATCGCCATTGGTTTCAACGTCAACTAGAACGATATTGTTACGCCTCTCAGCTGAGCAGATTCGAAAGTTTTCATCTCCTTCTTTTGTCAAGTCCGAATCTGATTTATATTCTTTCTGCGCGTGACAAGGTCTATGTAAATGTTCGTCGCTTTTATCCGGCGTTATGATATTCGGTTCCGACACGAACTGACGGGAACCGTTCAACTTGGTGGACTTGAATTTGATCAGACCGGCATCGCCAAGCTTCGAGAAATGTTTCGCTAGCGCTGCAACTCTGCCGCACCCTAAACGCACTTCTTCCGGCGACTTCCAGCATTTCTCCGTTTTGGATTCGTCACTAGACACATCGCTGTTCAGTCCGCTCAGATCAAGATGCAACTCTGGCATTATCGTGTACATCTTAGGAGTCGAGATTCCTCCCTCGGCGTCTCTATCGGCTCTGCTCGACGCACAATCATCGTTAATCGTGGAACTAGACTCATCCGCGCAATCTTCGGAATTGGAAATGTCGTCTAATTTATCGCCATATCGTTCATCGATGTTCAACGTACGTTTTGTAATATTGTCCGCACCTTGAAGACGCGAAAAGTCACCCGACTTACAATTGGATGATATCTCTGTAATGCAATTTGACCCAGCTGTAGCGTCTTTGACGAACAATATTGATTTATTCGTAGGGAAGGAGCTAGAAATTGATGAAAAGTTCTGATTGCTACCCGTATCTAATAACTCAAAATTAGATTGTGGAACACTTAGAGTTTGTTTTCTATCGCGATCTACATTTATACGTTTCTGAAAATTTCTACGATTAAAGTTGTCGTCACAACCAGCTTTAATACAATGCTCGCATTTCTTACTCGGCTCTACTTGAACACATTCAGAGGATTCCGTGTAATTAATATCTTCGGTTTGATCGATGTAGGGTATAGCATCGAAAAAATTTTCTTCGAAAGTCAGTAACGAGTGTTTGTAATCTTTCGTAGTCCCCGCATACTCCAGCGGCGGAGTGGTGATCCTTTCGAATGGATTTAAAGTGTCCGTAGAATTACTCGACGCGGCTCTGCCTTGTTCCACGTTACTCTCTTCTTCTTCTATGATTTTATCGTCGCTCTCGTCGCTCTCGTCCTGATACAAGATGGATGATATCTCGTTGTCGCTCGTAATAGAGATTAAGGGACAGGGCATACGAGATCTCGGGAGACGCACGGGAGATACGGTGGGGGTGGAAGGACGATAGTGTTCTTTCTCGTCGACGACGCCGCGAAACGCGCCTCTCTGACGAAAAATGGAGAACGGATCTTGCCGCGTGGAACGGCACTCGTCGATGTTGACTCGTGGGAAACCTCGGTCAACTTGATTATAGTAAGGGAATGTCTCGACGCATTGAGACGGGATCGCACCTGGTTGAACTGAATCCTGACACGGCGCCTGCTTCGGGAAGGACAATAAGTCGCCCATCGAGTGTGACGTGGCTGGTTGACTATTGGTCGTCTCCGTCGTCTCTACCGCCGGCTCTAAGAGCTCGGATCTTGGCCGAGTCTTATATGCTGCATGAAACAAGTGGTTAGTCAAGCGTTAGTAAAGCAGGCTCTTCTCGAGCGAAGCGAAGCGAAAGGCGTTATTCTGACGGAGCGATTATTCGGATTAGAAAATGTCCGCTGGCGATAAATCTGGCCAATATTTTGTAAAAAATAGGATCTTGCTGACACGTGTGCACTTGAAGCAAGAAACTGATAATCGTTTGGAAGAGTTATTTTATATATCATTAAATTAATTCAATTTATAATAAGATTATTTTAATTGTATATTATCATAATTTCATGATAGAATTTTGTTACAATAACTTAATAATTTTTTACTGTCTCGATACAAATAAATTATTTATAATTTTACAATAAAAAAAATTGGACTAATATTTTGTAAGATATTATAGATCGTATAGTATATTCTCTTCGCGAGCTTTAGCAATTGAAAAACTGATTACATAGAATCTAATTATAAGATCTCTATTATCTTTTTCTTGCTCCAAAGACAAAATTAGCTCTGGAAATTATGATATTAGGTATTAATCTTCGAACTTACCTCTTGTCATCACAGGAGAAGGTTGAGATAATAACGTTGCGAGTCCATGATATATAGCGCCCTGCTTTGCGACTTCTAATGTCACGATCGGACCGGTACGCACAAGATACTCGGCAGCCCTGCGAATCAATTTTAATGATATAATGTTTCAAACATTGTTAAAAAATAACTTTATTAAGTTAAAATTAAATCAGTCTAAAAATTATATCGTACTTTTCTTGCGTAATCCCGACCAGACTTTGTCCGTCTACTTTGAGTAATTGATCGCCTGCCGTCAATCTACCATCCTAAAAACATATACATAAAAATAAATTAACTTATTTAAAAACATGGACTGATTTGTAATTTGTTTTTGTAAATTTAAGGGGATCCTAAAGCCGTCTGTAATACCGGCTTTTTTTCTTAGCACTAATCTTTTAATTGACTTTATAGAAATGCAAAATTCTTGTCTAGAATTAAAGTACGCATCAAAATCTAGGTCATGGTGGTCAAATTTATATCGAAAACAAAAAAAAATTAATATTTTTGTTAATTTTTGGTATACGTGACGACAATATTTGCTTTGTACAAAAATTTCACGATAAATATCCACAAAATTAAACCGGCATGACCTAGGGACAACATTTAAGAACAATATCGTGCAATTAGATCTAAGATTGAAAACCTAGAAAAAAAGATTACTTTATATAACTTTTATATGTGCAAAAGCACATTCAAGTTGACAGGATAAGCAATATTGCGTGTGGCAAGAGATGGCGCAGTAATTGAACAAAGACAGATGCCTCTCGTTAGACAAGGACAGATATAGATATATGACAAGAAAACAGAATTAGAAATGTTGACATTACCGACGTCGAGGAAGTTCAGCCTTCACTTTAGGATCCCCTTAAATTCTAATTTTATAACTAAAATTTTTAAATTATATTCAATGTATAATTACTTTTTATTTCAAAGAAAAAATTTTAATTAATCATATTCAATGTTATATAACATAATTTAATTTAATTTAAGTTAAAAGCGTATCATGTTATGTGATTAAAACTTGTCATATTTAAAAAATGCTATCATATGCAAAATTTTATTTAATAATAATTAATATGCATTGAATATCATTACACATTTTAAACATAATTTTAATATCTACATTAAATGTAAAATATTTTTAAATAAATGACGGTTACTTACAGCATCAGCAGCACCACCAGCAACAACGCTTTTGATGTAGATACCTAATCGGTCCTGTCCTGTGCCCTACGTGTACCAGAATTAAAATAGCATTACTTTATAATAAAATTACATTATAATAAATAAGTATGTGCAGCTAAGGATACACACCTTTGCTGCAACGATGCTTAAGCCCATGCCGTTGGTACTCTTGTGCAATTTAATAACGTGTATCTCAGGTTGAGTTTGATTTTGATTAATGTGACTGATATAGCCACCAGACCTATTACTCATTGCGCTAGGACTACGCAACTGCAAAAAATTGTGTATAAAAATATTTCTCTATAATTATTAATTAAATTAATTATATTAAATTAATATAATTATAAATAATTATTAATTAGATCTTGGATCTAAGACACATATGAAAATGATAAACGCTACGATCTGCTTACTACTTAGTTTTCATATTAAAAAATTTTTAAAGTTATAAGAATTTGCAGCTTACATTGTTGTGATGGTCTATCATGTAAATGGTCCAATAGCCACTACTGGTGGGTTGGGCTGCCATTCGACATAAACCATCTCGTTGCAGAGGTGCCAGAAATTCCGCCAGTCCTGGTGGAACTCCTCTTATTACTTCGCAGCTGTAACCATCCTCAGGAAGTAATAATGCTAATCCTAGAACAGGTTCCTCTTCCAGTCTTATTTCACGGCCATCTGCACGTGCAAGTGTATCCGCGACACTCTCTGCTACCTATAATATTGTGTAAAATATATATTTTGTAGAATGACATTTTATGTCAACAAGACGCAGATTATCGTACTTTTAAATGTACTCACTCTCACCACATTCTCGATCAATTCGGCAGGTAGCCTAGGCTCGTCCGCGGCCGGTTGATATTTTTGTAGTAATGCCCTCACCTGCAGAGAATTTAATTTAAAGCAAGTCGAGCTTAGCGTTGCCAGCTCCTCAGCATTGTATTTGGGAGCCTGTAGTAGATGAGTCGCCTGCATGATCGTCGCCAAGTGGCATTGACTGGCAAGTTCCAAGCCTTGCCTCTCGGCCCAGGTCTCCAATGCGTTCAGCCTCGCTTTGAGTCTACGTCCGAACCATCTGACGCACAGATTTCCGTTCGAGACGAGAGTGTTGAAAGCTGTCGCGTTGATTGCGTGAAACAGATGACTAAACAACTGTATCGTCAACGCAGCATTCACCCGGCATCGTCGCAGTAGGGCCATCGTGTTTGAGAAAATCTGCAGCACTCCAGCTTCCTTTGCCGGCTCATCTGCGTCCGCCATGAACTGTGTCATTGCTGGCGTGAGTTCTAATGTGACGCAACGCACTAGCGAACCAAAGGCTGTATGCACCGCATCCGCTAGGATGTCTTGTGCCCGTGTGGAAAATGCGCCCACGTGCCGGTCACTCTTCAACATGTGTAGCAGTTCCGAACCGTTCGCCAACCAAAAGGCCAACGACGAAGCGTCCATGTAACGTTCCTGGGAACATAATCTTCCTTAAAACTACTGTTGACATATACTATCATATGGAATAACTTATGCTATAGTTATACTTTTCCAAATATCTGAACTAGTACACTTCTTTTTTAATATATTCACTGAAACAGTTCAGGAATATTCTAAAGTTTATACCTGTAATTTCTAAATCAGGTATTTTATTGCTCAAAATAGAAGAATTAAATTCACAATAAAATACCTGGATAACGCGTTGGATCATGGTAGCGACATTCGCCAACATGACGGTAAGTCGGTGCGCTCTTTCCGTGGGCTGCAATTCTGGTTTATAGTGAGTGCTGGCGCGATATCTCGCGCTGAGATAGAGGGTATAGGTTGGCGCCAACTTAAATTGTGGCGCCGAGGGTTCTACATCGGTGATGACAGCGTGGAGGAAGGTCTCCTCTGTCTCCTCGAGGAATTCTAAGACAGCTGGCAAGATCGGATCCGTGCCTCGCGGTTGCCGATCGTATTGTGAGTGTCTGCCAATAATCGATAAACGTTAATTTCCTTTCTTTGGCTTCAAACTTTTAAATCTTCTTTTTCAAAAGTAAATGTTATTAATATTTCGAGAAAGAATAGTTTAACGACATAAATTCATACAACATTATGTTTTACATCTGCCTTAAATATGAATAATTCTATGTATTTGCAATATATTGTAAGAAAGCACTAATAGTGTACATTCTACGATGCATTGCTACTCTAAAAGAATGCTTAATAATGTATCGTAATTGTGCACTCGATAAACTGAAAAAACTTGGCTAAATCGGCAAGCTGTAAATGTAAAGGGGTAGAATTTCAGAGAAGCTTCTAAATCGCAAAAATAATTAAATTACATCCAGCATACTTCTTAATCATTTTATAAAAAATTAACAGAATTTTTTTAAGAACACTTTTACATCGTAACTGTTCGTGATAAAGGTTTCATAATAAAAAGTTGCATTATATCGAAATTTTCTTCGTTATAAATGCGACTCTATATATTAACAATAAGTTCTAATCTTTTTTCGACTAGCTCAAGTATCATAAACCGTCGTAGATTTATCGTTCCGATTTGCTACCTGTTGCCGTCCCTGCTGCTGCTCAGACTAGCGGTCTCCACGTTTCCATCCAGATCGAATGTGGTCTCATAATTATGCGTAGGCTCCGGCGGATGCGTGGGACTACGAGGGCTACGGACTGCTGCGACAGCGGACTTCGAGGGGCTCGACGGAGCCGCCCGCTCCTGGGCCTGACCCGGGATCTGACCACCGCCGTTCGGTGTTCCAGATCCCGGATGAAACTTCTCCGAGCTGACGTCCTGACTGGTCGCGTCCGGCGAGCGTCTATCGTTTACACGCGTGCGAAGCGAACATCACGACGGGAAAAGCAAACGTAAAGCATATCGAGCGAAATAAACGTAAATGAAAAAGTAATAAAAATTCATGGGAAAATGCGTTTCAATTCTCTAATTACAGCCTCAAATTACAGCCTCCGCCGAAAGTATGGAAGATTTTTAATAAAGTATGATAAATTTATTGATTAATATCAAAAAGTTTTTTATATATAATCTTCTCTTCCTTTTTTATTTAAATAAAGAGATTTATAGTATGCTTTTCAATTTACAATTTCTAGTATTTATTGAAAATGTTCCATACTTTCATAGCCAACATATAAAGAACTTTAATATTCAAGTAACTAATAAAAACTATATACATGAAATTTAATGCAATACGGCATTAAGAGTATCTGATAATTGTAACAAGGTGAACACTATTGTTGTAAGTGCATTCACATTGAGATACATAAAAGAACATGTACTGACTAATCGCAACGAACGAGCAACATTCGTGCATCACGTCTATTTCTCACCTGAATGCAATGACGAGAAAAAGGAATACGTGTCTCGAACTTACCGGTCGTAAGCGTAGTCGATCTGTTTGTTAGAATCCTGTCTCTGCCTAATGCGCTCTTCCGGCGCTGGGTCGATGAATCGGAAGGTGTGCATTCTACCGAATTTGATGATAGCTCCATTCTGTAAGCATGCAACATTGAAGCTTATCATTACATTTGCTCTTCAAATCGATGCGCCAACAATTCGATATATTAAATTAAATATTAATTTCTTTACTCGCGTTGCGATCCATATTTAAAAAAGCAACCAAAAGTTACATAAACGGTCATATATACAAAATGCGAACATATACCAACTGCAAAAACGGACACTTACCTGCAGAATGGTCGTCTGATGTATCCTCTGGTTATTGACGTACGTATGTGCGTCTCTGGAACACGGCGTGAGGGTCACAATGTTCTCGGTAAAGGCTATAACGCAATGCCTGGGCATCACCGTCGGTCCTGGCAGCGTCAACGTCTGCGCTTGCACCGCTTGCGGTCCTATCGGTCTCTCCGACCCGACCTCCGTGACATTCGGCTGTAATCGGTGTCGCACTCCGGCGCCGTTCGGGATATCGCTGCCATCAGGATTAAGTTCCAGTAGGAATGGTAGCCTCTCGTCCTCGTACCTGTAAAAAACAATCGCAGCTATCACTAAAATGTTCGTTACTGCAGGATTAAATATCTGGATAAATCATAAACTCATCATCAAAGTATGAGCAATTAATAACGGACTAAACGTTTATAGGCAATGTCTGATGTCCTTTGAATAACAATTTTTCCCAAAACTGTGACGTATGTACCTGTGATCCAACTCGTTCCACTTTCCGGCTGGTTTCTTTTTACGTTTCCGCGGCATGTAATCTGCGGGCCTCCTCCTCACGTGAAACATAATGGAACCTGCGAGAAGAATGCATGTCGTAAGATTTTATTCAAGCACACCGAGAACAAATTAGACTATGTACATATATATTCTTATTCTAATAATCTAATACATAATAAATTATAAATTTATAAAAACAAAAAAAAAAGTTATACTATAAATTTATAATACATTTCATACAGTATACTGAAGAGTACAAATCATAAAGATTATAATATTGATACATTTACAATAACTTGCTGAAGAACAAGAAATATTTCAAAAATTGATGTATACACAAAATTTTTAAAAGGATCTTTAAAATTCTCTTAAAATTGCTAAGGGATATAAAGAAATTAATAAATAAATAGTTCGCCAATAAAAATAAAAGTAGATAATGAGCGCAATGAAGGGCATCAGAGATCTTATCGGTACAGTTCTGGGAATGAAGCCGAAGGATGAGAGCGGTTGAAAAGAAAGAAGGGAAATAAAAAAGGGAAGGGGACCTCCTTCATATCGGCAACGTATGAACGCTCGTCGTTGATTTAAAGATGCGTGGCGTGTAATAATCGCGCATGAGAAGCTTCGCGGTAAATCGTCGAATTAGTATGATGGGCTAGATAGCGATCGTGCATTTTTCTCGCGTTACAGCACTGCCGTGCGTTTCCTACGCGGCAACGCACGTGTGCGTGCTTCAAAGCACACGGTGGCTTCTCACGGAAGAAAACGGAAAGGGAGAATGACTCTCGGCTTCGGGTCAGCGCGCCGCACAGTCATTGCACCCGCCGTCGCCGGCGTTTTCATCACGTTTTCCCTCGTCCTTGCATCTGGAAACGGCGCGGCGCCTCGTGCTTTCGGCAGCGAACCCATCGAGTATTATACGGCTCGACGAAAGAAAAAATTCGCTTTCTCCCAAACCCGTAGAAAGAAAGTAGTTTCACTGCATATAATTTGAGTATAAAATGCTCTATCGCAATTTTAAGAAAGAAATTATGTTTAAAGTTGTAAAAAAAATATTTTTTACTTTTCACCTGCACGTATACAACATATTGCAAGTTTCATTCCGCCCAAAATTATTTTATTTCTTAAAAGAAATCTATTGTAAAAATTACTGTTTAGAAGATTGTCTAAAATTATTTATATTGTTAGAATTTGCAGTCTTCAAAATTTGTTGTAAGAATTAGCGTTAAAAAAATTTTCGTTGCGATGTCAAATATCGGGTTTATCGCAGTTCTAAATTAAAGTGTAGGCGTTACGAGGGAATTTATATTCGACGAATCATCAAATTTAATAGCTTCCAAATCTCGAAGAATTCTCAAGTTCAGAAAGTCATAAATAAGCGTTCGATATTCGACAGTGATAGAAATCAGCGAGCTTCGTAGACTCGCCGAACAATCTACGATTTTAAAGGCTTTAATCGCACAATCGACTCATAATTAAGTCTTGAAAACTGCGATTAGTTTCGAACCTTGTCCAATCTTAGATTGAAATTTTCTTGAATTTAAATTGTTCCAGAACTCAAAGAAACTTGAAATTTTCATTAAAAGCACACGCGGCACTCACCTAACATCACCTCCGCCTTGCCATTCCGGCGTGGCTTGAATGGCCAAAGTCCAATCATGTAACACTTTTAGATGGATTCACGAATAATAACATAGATATATAATCACGAGAAGATTTCTATTCGAATCACAACCGATACTCCAACAGTTTCGTATCAGTGGCACGTTTTGTAGACACGTTTTGTGTCTCTTTATTCACATCAAACTGTCACAAAAATATACCTTTTTGTAAAGCAAATTTTTCACTTCTTTAATTCAAACTTTATATTTTTTATTAATTTAATATATAACAAAAAGAACAATCGACATATGATTTTATCTTAAATTCTCTATTATTGTCCATCATAATGTTTTTCCATTAATAGTTATATGCAATCTTTATGGGTATAAAGTATTTATTAATAAACCAGATTTTTGTGAGAAATTAATAGCGAAATATTTCTATTGTGCAAAGAATTATTCAGTGAGATATTTGTAAGGGGTGCATAAAAGTATTGTAAAAGTTCATATCATTTGGAATCAAAGTCGCAATATAAAGCGATAAGCAGGAAAACGATTGGTTTAATAGATCAATTTTATCCGAGGACATCGCGAACAAGTATATGTTTTATGGCAATTTTCCCAGAACGGTATACATTTATAAATCGATTAGTATGTTTCAAAGCGCTATAAAATATCCTTTACGAAGTTCTGGGAACGATACAAAACAACTCCGTTACATGTCAGTAAAGCACTTATTGCAATTTGTATACATAGCTTTAAACTTTTCAGTTCACGCGATAGTAAATGCCAACGTGATATTGCAACGCAAAAGATTTGTATAGACATTACAAACGTTAGCTTGATACACACGTAAACAATACGATAAGCGAAAATCAAATAAATAAAAATAGCTCGATATACTTGACTGATAATCCTGAATTTAAAAATAACTAAAAATTTGTATACTGTATTATAAACCTTTAAGCGTCTTCAACCACGTTACTCTAATTCACTTTCGTGATTCTTGTCATTAATAAAAATCGATTAAATTGTTAATCAATTTTTTGCCGAAGAACAATTCAATTAGGGCAAAGCATTATCCTAATCAAAATAATTTGCTTAAATTTTCGTCGTTCATCGTTTTAATTATACGCGTAATTTATCATTTAGTAAATTCTTTACACGGCATATTATTTTTATCAAATTCATTAAAAAATTGTACTTTATTAACTATGAAAGTTCTAATCGAATAAGAAGCAACACAAAAACGAGCGAGACGTAACGCATGAAGGAGAATGTTAAAATCCAACAAGATTAAAGATAACGTAATTAAGTAATGAGTTTCACACACACATTATTAGGAATTAATTAATTATATTTGTAATTTATATGTATATTATATAAGGGATTTAATATATGTTTAAAAATTCCGTTTAAAATTTCAATTAAATTTTAGCCGACGTAAATCATCATCAAGCACATTCGATAAATCACACACTTTACGAGAGAATTAATAGCTTGCATTTTTTTATTTCAACCACGTCGTTTATAAACGCAGCCGAGAAATGCTAATTGTTCGCACGTAATTATTCGCGTCGCGTGAAACAGCCATACGCGAAAGCGAAAGCGTAACACCTTTAATATCCATGGCGCGCAGGACGATACTCTACGCGGCTCGCCCGTTAAAACAACACTGGTGTATAACTTCTTGTTACTTTCTGTCCCGTACAACACACAGGTGTGTATATAGAAACAAGAATACGATAGACTGCACGTGAGACCGGCGCAAGCGTGTTGACGGGTGTCCCTTGCACTATACGGAACTATAGCAGCCGGCTTCATTTATTCGCTGCGAAATTATTTATTAGCTTCCGCATTAAATCGAATGGGATTCATACGATGATTAATTTTTAATGGAAAATAGAAGCAAGAAAAAAAAACGCTGAAAGAAGATATATGCTTATCGTTAGCGTTGGTTCTTATATATATATAGAAACATTCATGCAAGGATTTATTTAAATTTTTTACCGAGAGAAAGAAAAAAACTATTTTTTTATTTAATTAGCAGGCAATAACTCTTCTTTTACTTATAGACTCTCTAAATTACTAATCTACAATTATTGATACTTTCTCTTGGCCTGGTCTTTGATGTCTACGACTAAAGACACTTTTTAAACGATACAATATTCCACACAATCAAAGATAATATAATCTTGTTTTCCGAATTTATCGAATACATTATAACATTACGATGTAATTACATACGGTGTAAGTACAGACGGTGAAACAAGCGAAAATATTTCCGTCAATTAAATAAACAAAGAGCCAACATACGTTGACATTTAAATTATGATTTTGTATCTTATAAAACGTTATCAAATAATAATTTGTACTATTGATATATCCCAATCATCAAAGAAAGATTTCGTTTTATAAGAATTCCGTGGGGTTCAGTTTAACTTCATTATCGAAAGCTTTGCTAAGAATAACAGGTATTCTTAGAAATGTTTTCCATTCATATCGGCCCAACCATTCATAAGTATCGGTCCAATTTTCACGTCGATAAAAAGAGATTTGAAATAGTACGCGATTCTTCAGATATAAAAATTAGTCCATTTATAAACGGTCTATTTAACAATTCTTGTATTGATGTAATATTACATTAATACATAAATAGATAGTTACACCCTTAAAGTGAGATTTATGTACTTATTGGGCGGGTCATCTTCTCCTTTCATAATAACGAAACGTGAATTTAAATACAATTTTAATGCAATAATGCTTTAAAAAATATATTTATTTTAGTTTAAATTTAGTTTAGTTTGTAAGATAATAAAATTGTTAGTTTAAATTAAAAATTCGCAAAGTTAAAGCGTTTTTCTAAACGGTTTGAAAAAAAGTTTGCTAATTAATTATTTTCAAATCAGTCACATTTATCTTTATACAGCTGAGCAAGTTTTTAATAAATATGATTTTTACAAGATTTTCAAATATTTTGTTATTTTCAAAATTTTGAAATTGCAATCCATTTCCTAAGAAATTCTTTTCTTAAAAATTCATGTTATTTCATATAAAATTCTTTCCTTAATTTCTTGAGAACTCGAGAAATATATATTATCGCATTATTCAATTTTTTAATCTTTGAAGAAGGTATAATCCTACGAGAAAATATTTGAATAAAACTTTGTCTCACACACACAGAAATTATACATTAAAAAATTACATATTAAAGCGTGATAAACGGACTTTAAACTGATTGATCTTCGAGGATTTTTATCTTAAGTCGTTTAGAAGTTAAGCCTCTTTAAAAACATAATATCAAAATTCTTACAAATTGAAAAATTTAATACCTCTAAAAGCACATCAAAATTATGACATTAAAATTTTATTTTTATCAAAATACTTGTTTCAATATTATACATAGATACAAATTGATTTGGGGAAAAGACACAAAAATATTCGTTTATTTGAGAAGATTATCCACGTACCCATTTATATGTGCATAAAAATATAATTGTACAACTAAAAATAATTGATTCGACTGAAATTCATCGTACTAAAATCGTAGCGGAAAGTTCCACGGATTTAGTCCGCGCGCTGAATGCGATCCGAATCGTTTCGATCGGAAATCGCGGTTTCGGTCATCGCCGCTCGCAATCGAGAAACTTGGAAATTTCGCTTCGACACGGAGCAACACGTCGAAACGATCGGGATCGGTGCACGCGACTATTCCGCCAGGCGGAAAGGAGAAATTACCCGAGATATTTTTAGAAAAACGAAGGTAGCACGCTAGTGCTCGAATGTAGGTCGACATATAACGCAGATCGTTCCGGCGTTTTATTGATTTCCCGCGGACCCAATTCCGACGTGCACACACGCCGTCGCCGTCGCCGTCGCCGTCGCGCCGCGACGCGACGTGCCGTCGCGCGATGCGTACGCACGACGCACGTAAAAGAGATCACGAGAGATCGGCGTGCCTTCATCCCTTGACCCTCCTCTATCCTACCGGCCCTTCGTTCGCCCTTAGGGCGCGTAAAACCTGCTTAATCCAGAGAGAAACATTCTACTTGATCATGTACGACTATATGCCGCGTATTTATCTTTCCTTTTAAAACTAATTTTCTCTTTAATATCTATTCGTTATTAAATCTATTAGATAATGGTTGTCTTAAATCGAGAAAATTTTATACGCTCGACGATATTGAACGATAAAATCTCGATATTTCTTTCCGAAATGATGATGATATCTTGTCTCTTGATATAAATTGTCTGTAATGAAGCTTTATGTGTTCTAATAATATTTAATATTACCTCTTGGGCTATTATTTTTTAATACAACGAGGAATATATACATGCAAACAGGACAGGCTGCAAACCTTATCAACAGTTATCAAAAAACTCAATAATGCGCAAAATTTGTATATAATGATTATAATGAAACATAAAATCTTGCTGCTTTTAACGATCATTCTCCTTAAGTAAAAAGCAGACGAATATGATCGCAGAGGAGGTACCTTACAAAAAAAATTAAATAAACAGGAAAAAAATATGTATATTGCCGCTAAGTAATTTTCAAGTTTTCAACATTGCTAATTTACAGCAGGGACGTTTAAATAATATATTTCAACAAATTGGCTAGGTAACACATAGAACCACATCAAGAAGAAAGTTCAGCTTTATATGCGTCATGCATGATTCGGTCAGCTTTAATAGGAGCTTACGTCGTATTCCCCAATCCATCATGACGACTGCCTTATTTAATTAAATTTCGTGGTCCCTTCGTCGGTTATTGCTGCTGCTAAATATTGGTCCCCTCTTTGTTCCCTTCTTTCGTTGCTCCGTTTTCCCGTGAAACTTGAGAATCCGTTGGCCCCTCAAACTGGTCAGGTGAATCTTATCAATATCAATTAATTGTCCACGGACGTTAGGACGTTAGGACGTATAATTAAATCTCTTCGGCATCAATTCTCTCTATAATCCTGATGAACTTAAAGCGAATTGACTCAAATTTATCCTTGATCTATCTCTATCGATCTGTTCGATGTTTGATTTATATGTGTGCTGACATTGTCCAAGCTTAGACTATGAAAGCAAACTGGAGGCCGTTCTATGCTTCATATCTTTAAAAATAGCTCGATTGAAGAAATTATAAATCTGTTCAATTGGTCGTGTTCTTAATTGAATCTCGATGTTAACGTTACGGATATGATAATCGATATTAGTGGTGATACATTGAAGAAAATATTGATACGTTTATTCAGGTACGAGTTACGATCTGTTGATAGTCATGTAAACATCGTCAGGACGATGGTTGCTGATGATCGCATTAAAACGTTACTTCGGGCTCTCACAGTGACACATCATGGCACAGTATTGGACCGTGCTGATATTGACCGTAGTGGATCGTTTTTATAATTCTCGAGCAGATTGCAGGATATTTACAGATCATAACTGCAGGTTGCGCGATTTATAAAAAAAGCCTTTATCGACAATAAAGAGCTTACTCGGGACGTTAAATTGAATGATTGCACTTACGTGCAACAATAGGTCAATAGTACGTTGTCGATCATGCAATTGACAGTTTTCAAATCGGTCTCTTCGTTGTTCACGCAAATCTGATATTTAACTTCGCTGATGCGTTAAAACGAAGGCGAACAGCTCACGCATTAATTCACGTAGCGATGCACCATCCGTAATCTGTAATGATCACGCGATAATTAGTGATCAGATAAAGTCGTTGCCTCGGCATCTCCCGGAGGTATCCTGTAATAGCCATAATAACCACTGTTCGCCAGAAGTATAATCGATGAGATATATTCGATCGTTTGATTAGGTCAACTTTGAGACTTGCAATCAGGTGTCATGTGTTATTGGTCAAGGAGACACCTGCGCACTTCGTCAAGGTTTTGCGCGATTTGTACAATTATTTTATGATGCCTCAGTAATGACAGACCAATCAAATTCTTTTGCACTGTCCGCTTCTAAGTTATGCATGTAATCGATAGCCGGTCGTCTGTCCTTTACGTGAATCACGAGACAATAGGTATCACGTTGCTGTTACAAATCTTTCATGTCTTCTTTATCTGTAATAAATCGAATAAGTTCAATTACGTTGAGCTATGATTACTAATGACTTAATTAGTAGATCGGACTCAAGACTGGTCACTTGGAATTTCACGAAATTGCGCAGAGTAACCGGGTTATCATGCGTGTAGGGTTCACTTTCATCAATTCACTCTCTTTGATATGTCGTGTTCGGGTTCGATGACGCTGGTCATTAACGCTTTACATTCGCGTGTATAATCGTATTTACTCCTTCAGTCACGTACGTAGTTATTTATTCCTTCGTGCGGATTACGGCGCATTATCGCGACCGTGTGAGTGGGTGGTTCCACTTTCGCTACTATGAAAAGTCTTTGATACGTCGATGATGAGCTAATCGTATTCGATGACGCCACGCCTTGGTCGCTCCGCGTTATGCGCGTGTAATTGTAACGACTATTCACTTCTTCGTGCAATTATAGGGATATTGCAGCCGTGGATGGATCCGATTTTGTCATTCCAAATTCTCTGCTGCGCTTCGATAGAACAAGTCAAACAAATGGTTATTAATACGTTGCGTCGTATTTATACATGTTGTTGCAAAGAATAACACGTCTATTTACTCAATCCAGGCTACAATAGATCACCAAATGCGTGGGCGAGTACACTTTTGTCACGTAATTTCGATGATGGTTGAAGGACTCCGGGTTCGACATACAAACGTTTCAAAATGAAAAAAATAATTAGGCAACTAATTAATGTACGGATTACTGTACAGAGAAGGCAACACGGCGCTAAATGTTCACATATTTCACGCAAGATATGCTGGATCAATTGTAATTCGGTCTCAGGTAAAATTAACGACTGGTCGATTCGTTGCACAAATTTAGGCTCAAACGACTCAATTGTCGGACATCACGGGCAATTATTTCGCCGTGAATGACGAAGTCGAAACGAGGGCAAAGACGACGACAAGGCGGCGACGACGGCGCCCGCGCACTGGCGCTGGTACCGACGACATGAGCTGACTGAGGCGATGCTGGTATCGGTTATTCTCCTTGCCACCCTTACGTCCCCCTCATCAACTACCCTCTATACTTCGGCTCTTCCTCTCTCCCTTCTGTCGCTTCTCTCGACGAACTTTCGCCCTTATCAACTGATATTAAAAGCTCTTTTTACGCACAACTTTATAAATTTAATCCTCTCTTTAATGTGGTCTTTTTCCTTTCTAGTCTTCTTTCTCATTAAACTTTTGTTCTCATCTCGTTAATTCTGATGTCAATCTTTCTCATCAGATCAATCCTCCTATTTTGTTCCATCATCTATGTTTCAAGAATTCTTTCCTTCTCCGCACCCGTTAACTTCTATTATCTTCTTCTACCGTTCTTTTCTACTAGACATATGTAACTCTTCCAAGTCGATTATTTTTTTAATTAGTTTTTTATGAATATTTTAAAAATCTCTATACTTAATATAACTTAAAATAGTCTGCAAAACTTTCTATATCCAATTTATTATTCTCGTGTAATATATAAATGTCTCAGAATTTTTATTTGACTTCGTGCAATAATATTCATATTGACGGGCGTAACAATATAATCAAATATCAGTTAACTTTTTAATATTATTATTTATATTAAAATTAAAATTGTATTATATAAAATTTATAAAATTAACTAAAAATTAAATTAAATTAGTTTTTGTTAGAATTAACAAAAGTAAAAAGTTTGCAAAAAATTCGTTCTCTCAATGAAAGATTAAAGTTATGTCATAATTCTCTTAAATTTGAATATAAAAATAAGCAAGTTTGTTAAATCATTATTGACGTACTTTACATCAAATTATTATTGCGGCATTAGCTTGCTATTAAATTCTCAATAAAAAAATATTAAAAGACAAAAATTTAGTATTTCCAAATGTACAAAGATTAATTTTATAATATATCCTGGAGAAAATTAAATCGTTGCAAACACACTTATATTATATTAAACACTTTAAATGTAAAATTATTTAAGTCCAATCGTATTAAGTCCACTTTCCTCTTTTTCATTTTAATAGTTAGAATATACACAGAACACTGCTTATTAGAGTTATGCAGCGATTGTGCAGCTAAGCATAAAGTATTGATGTAAAAGTAAATTCTTACCTCGCGTGGAAGGATGATTCATTAATATCGCCAAAGGACACTCGTCGTCGTCTAATATGTACTCCTGATGTGCATTGCCACCCACGTTCTCACTATTAACCTACATCATAAACAAGATAGTGATTTGTACAATATATGCTTTTAACAAAAAGTATCTAATATTTATGCATAATTTCCAGAAATGGCGAAGGTAATTAAATGTCAAGTACAGAAATGTATCATGTTATACAAAAAATATTTTTGTCTACAACATTTAGTATTAACGCAGCTCACTAACAAAACTGTGTTTTATGTTTTCTATGTTCCTTTAATTTTTATATGATATTAAAAGATAGATTTTCTTATCAATTATGTTTTATTTAAACTAAATTAAGCAAAATATACTATTATTATTTGATAAATGTTTTTATTAACTTCATAAATATCTTGCAAACTATTAATATACTTTATCTCATTATTGTAACTATCTCGCATTTATTTATTGTTTATTAGCTTTATATTATTCTTCCTTTAATAATAATTATTTATTTTATAAATATATATTTTATGTGTATACATTTAAATACATATTGTATTTTACATATATTTTTATATTTGCCTTCATTTTTCAAATCATACATTTAACAAATTGAGATATTTTTTTGTAAAATTTTATTTGCAGAATAAATGCTAATATTTTTTAATATTAAGCAATAAACATCTTAACAATTAAGTTCAATTTAACATCAATTATTAAATTTTGAATTGCGCTATCTTTTTGATCAAAATTCGTCGAAGAAATAAATTTTTAAAATCTGTCAAATTTATCTGCCATATATGACGATCTATCCGCGGATAAATGACAGTCTCGTATATACCTGCACAAGGCAATATAACTGCGGGTCCACTTTATCCAGGCCGTATTTAGAAAGCATCTCTCGCACAACCTGAGCGGCGGAATCTCGCACGCTCAGCAGCAGCGTTTTGTATGGCACGTCCTTGCACAACGCCTCGCCATAAATTTTCAATGTGCCGCCCGTGTCGGGACCGCCGTCTTTACTGCGAAATTGCTGGAGTCTCCTTTCAAGTTTCTGTTGACGGCGGCGTCTCATCACCGCTTCCGGATTCGAGATGCTCCTCGTAAAACTGGTCTCAGGCAATTCTAAAAGCGATAATAACATCATTAATACAGAAAAGAAAAACATTCATACGAGTCACAACAAAGAAGTATCTTTATTTTGTTTTTGCTATTTTCATTACAACACGATAATCAGTAATCAAATTAAGATAATTGAATTATTATACTTTACGTAATATACTAAGCTATTCTTAAATCTTGCATTAAGAAAAACGAAAGAATAAAGCACAAAAATACTTAAACTATAGAGTGTAATATAAACTGCGTTCCACATTCCTCTTCTTCTTTCTTTCAGTGAAGAAAGGAAAAGAAGAAGAACACTTCAAAGCATTTATAGTATCAAATAGACTGCAGTCATAATAACGTTTTTCGATATCTTTTTGAAACACTTTTCAGTCAAAATATTTTTTAAAGATTATATTTATATTTGTATTTATTATTATTTATATTCACGCGTTATTTAATCCTTTAATAATTTTATATAAATAGTAATTTCATACAAACAGTCTAAAAATAATGTTTACTAACCCGTATAAAGTTTCTCGGCGACACCGTTCTGATCGCCAGGCGCCGCGTTCTCGTCTTGCTCCAAGCTCTTCAGTCGACTGAGCTTCTCCTGCTTCTTGATCTGCTTTTTCTCCCGCTTGCTCAGCTTTCTTCGGAAGCTAGAACCCTCGGCTGAAGTAAAACCGACGCCCTGCGCATTGGTCTTATCGTCGATTCGCTTCAGCAAGAAGCGTCCCTCCCGATCGTCTATATGCCAATTTAGTTGAACTAGCAATGGCTTTTCTTCTAAATCGAGTTTACGCTCTTCTATAAACAAAGTACAAACCAAGGTACAAACGATATTAAAACACTTTAGAAAAAATAACATTACTAAAAGATAAAATTAACTGAGATCTCTCTTCAACTAAAAAAAAGTCATTAATTCAAATATAATTAAATATAAATGTATAATATTTAAAGGGCATAATTCAGTTAACAGAAACTCATGATATGTTAAAAGTATATTAAAATTTATTAATTAAGGAACGTACATATACGTTATACGTTAATTTAAAGATGTATAAACCAGTTTTTAATTTAATCTAATTATAAAAAGTTCTCGCTAAATGCGCAGTTTTAGTTTTAATCGATATTGTTCTTTCACGTAATCTGATTTTACTCACCTCCATTCTCGTGAATCTCATAAAGGGCGTATTCTGGGACGGATAGCATTCTCATGTCGGGACGAAATTTTTCTATGAGAGTTTCTATTACCGCCTGGCTGGTCGCGTCCGAGGCGACTCTGATGCACTTGGTAGCGACCTTTTGGCCGCTGTCTTGAAAGTAAAACCTCATCACGCCATGGAACTCCAGATCCTGTTGAGAAAAAATAGCATAATTCGAGTAAGCTTGCGGGAGCTAGACGATCACGCGAAATTTAAATGGGTCGTCTTGGCAACACTCACCTCGTTGGGCTCCGAAAGTTCGAACAGGTCCAAGCGATTGGCGTTCCATTGCTGTATGACCCCCCTGAGAGCTTCTCGCTCCGCTTTTTTATTCGCCAGTTCCGTTGCCATCCTGAAAAACACGACGGACGACATAAATGTAATTGTAAGTAGCCGACACAGTTACGGAACTTGTAGAAGGTCTAACGTTACTGAACGCGTCACGATTTCTTGGAAACCGCAGACCGCGTGATCGCGAACTTGGCTTCTTAATTAAAGAACCAAACGGATGAACAGATACATTTTTAGAAAGTTTTGTACGCTACAAAACCATGGGATCAAAATTTTCAATATTTATTCTCTTGTGTTTCGTTCCCTTAACCCCGAGAACGGGAGCCTGGGGTGGTTTTTATATCCCAGTCTCGAAAAAATAAGTTCACGTCATTTTATAATGTGTGCTTCTTCCGTTTTTTAAATATTTTCTTTGGTTCCTTCTTACTTTTTTCTCAGAAAAAATGGAGTAAATGTGTATATACATATTGTCCTCAAATACTAATACAAATTATACAGAACAATAAAAAATATATATAATTAACAACAATGATTTTTAACTAGGGTGTAAAAGTCATCCCAGATAACCATTCATGCAAAAAAAAAAAAAATCAGGCGCTCGTTCCCGGATTTAATCGTACAAGCTCCCGTCTCGATCAAACAGCCACGTATAATCTGCCTATTGTCTCTAGAAACCGAATTTAAATCTTCGAGAACCGTGTGGGGAACTTTTAAATAAACTTTCCAAGAAACACGCGGCCGCTTTGATTTTGTTTCACGCCTCTTCACAGGCCTCCCTCCGCCTCCGGCGCGGGGCTGCTGGCACCGTCTGTTGTGATACCCACGAGATAAATTATCACATCAGCAGACGTAAAGCGCGAGGCGTCTGTTCGGTGCGCCAGGCCGCACCGTGGTATCACGTTCGGTATGTTGTGATTCTCGCTATGCGGCACTGTGCGGCACGAGTGTGTCCGATGCATGCGATGCATTCAGAAACGACCCTCCTCGAGTACAACAATACAAAGTGACCGCGGGAAAAAAAAATGCGCACCGGGCGACGCCGACGCCGGCGAACCCGCGTCATTTACGAATTCGATTACTGCAATTATTTGATGGTAAGGCTAATTAAACAAGGTCAATAATCCGAGTCAATTAATTTATATCGCTAAACTATTCGTTCGATCGATTTTTCACTCGATTAGTTGTTGAGTAACTTTAACTGATTAAGGTTGAAGTACTCGTCAAGGCCGGACGCGGCGACCCTAATTAACTTAAATCTTAACAAACAGAGAGACTGCGCGATCGTGCCTCGCAGTTTCCG